ATTTTCCTACGTGCAGAGGTTTTCTAGTTTGAGTCGAATTCTGAGCAGATTTTGGCTGAAGATTTAGGAGATATTTTTATTAGTTATAGTATTTAATTAGGAAGCATGGGATATTGTCTTTTGTAGTTTCGTTTTCCAATTAGGAAAGATGTTTTAATATTCATAGCTATAATTTAGGAGATAAAAGAGGAAAAGGGTCGGCTAGCTATATATTAGTAGACTAGTACTTCTGAGGAGGAGAAAAATTAGTATCGTGACTCTTTAGATAGGATGATTGACGATTTCTTGTGTTTCTTCCTTGATAGCCTCATGTCCATCGAAATTGTTCAAACTCTTACATTGTGATTTTTCTCAATGATTAATCACTAATTTTCTTTTCTAGTCGAAGGTCAATTTGAAGGCATTGTTCCAAACTTCTGTGAGATCGAATTGATTTATATTTGTTTCTTTTAATTCATTGGTATTCGTATGTTTTCTAATTTAACTTCTTATGATTATTTTGTTATTTGAATATCACGGGTCTGATATTTGAATTAACCTAATAATCTACTGCCATATTAATTAATTAAATTCATAATTGTTTGATTGGTTGATATTAGTGGCGACTAGTGTGATTGGTCCCATGTTAGGGGAACGTATGATCTAATTTAAATAAATCCTCGTAGCGTGTTTGTTGGTTAGGGTCAGATTTTTCTAATTTAAATAAACCCTCGTAGCGTGTTTGTGTGAACCATGTTTGAAAAGTTGCACTTTTAGCTAGAGTCATGTCTACTGTTGACTTAATTCTTGTTTAATTTCATGAATTGCTCTTTTTCTTAATTAGTTAATTAGTTGTTCTTAAAGTCACCAAAAATTCCCTCATAATTTTACTCTAAAAAGAGATAAATTTTCTCCAGTTCCTGTGGAGACGACTCTACTTATCACCATATGCAAATTTTTATTTTTCTTGACCAGGTTTTTATTATTGTACAGAGTCGACATCTATAGTTGACATCTGTCAAAATTCCCTCCATTTTATTTCTTTGATACAAGATTGGATATATTATCAGAAAATAAATTTCTTCAATTATTTCATAAAGTTTTATTCGATACTTTACAATCTCAAATACATTTTAAAACCCCTTGTGGCCATTAGATTGTAGTTTCTTATTTTAAACATGCTTATTTCCACAAAATTCCTATTACTTTTCATCCTCGCATAGGTCAGCGTCATGATATTGAATATATAGAACATCCAAAAAACTCCTAAAAGGAGTCCTATGTTAAAATTCAAAAGATAATTACATTTAAAACAACTACAGTTAAAAAACATATCTACTATCCTAGAAGACATAAAAGAGAAATTACAATTAAGTTACACAGAGAATCCCCTTAAATTTTGGGATAGAAGCCAAGATTATGCTGAAATAAATCTCAAAGATGAAAATAATATAATTAGAGTTAAGTCCATGAGGTATAATCCAATTGATCAAAATGAATTAAAAATCAAATTTAAAAATTGTTGGAGATACCTTTAATAAGAAAAAGCAATTCTCCCCATTCGTCACCCACATTTTTGGTAAGAAATCATACTAAAATAATAAGAAATAAATCTAGAACGGTTGTTTTCTATAAATAGCTAAATAATGAAACCATGTTTGATGGATACTTTTACCACATAAAAAACTCTCATAAATATGAGTAAAGGAAAGAAAATATATTCTAAAATTGATTGTAAAAGTAGTTTTTCTCAAATAAAAATGCAACTCGGTAGTATCAAATATGCAGCTTTTAGTACTACTTAAAGACAATATGAATGGTTAGTCATGCTGATTGGATTGAAAAAATGCCCCCCAAATATATCAATGAAAAATGGATAAAATTTTTAAGGATTATCATTTCTTATGTATATACATTGATGATATCTTAATAGCATCAGATTCAATAGAATAACATTTAGAGCATTTAAATATAGTTTTTGATCTATGTCTAAAACATGGAATAGGATTATAGGAGAAGAAAACAAAAATAGGATTAAAAGAAATTGAATATTTAGGTCTATAAATAAATGGTGAAGGTATAAAAATGCAATCGCTTATTTTAGGAAAAAAATTATGAGTATTTCCTGATAAATTAGAAGATAAAAAATAATTACAAAAATTTTTGGAAACATTAAATTATGCATCAGATTTTATTTGCAACTTAGCAGACAAAATAAAAGAATTACAAAAATTGCTAAAGAAAAATAATAAATATGAATTCTTCGAAAATCATATAACTCTAGTAAAGAAAATAAAAGAGTAATGCAAGAATATATCATTTTTAATCTTACCTTCTAATGAAAATAATCTCATACTAGAAATTGATGTTTTCGAAAAAGTATGGAGTGCAGTTCTAAAAACGAAAAATAATCTATTATGTAGATATGAATAAAGAAGTTTTTGAACTTCTTATCAAGCATGTCAAATAAAGCCAAACTACAGTTAGCTTTTTACAATAAAGTTGAATTATTATTATATGACCTATTCAAAAGGGATGAAATAAAAAATCTTCCCTCTTCATAGGGACAAGAAGATTGTCAACAAATTGAGAGATTTGGAATAAATTCTCTTAATAATGGAATATTCTTGAGATCGAATTTTAGCCAAAACTAAACATTTCAAATGATAACCATATTTGATAATATAGATAATGAGCTCTGAATACAATTCTCTTATGAGAGAATTATATAATTTATCAAAAAATGGATACCGATTATATCGATTTCACAGGAATCTATCCCCAAATAAATTGCGTGCGGGGATTTGATAGCAATTTCATCCAAAATTGGTATAATTTTGGAATAATTAATGTTATATATATATGACTACTCCCAATTTTCCTAAAATTTTCAAAATCCCTAGGTGGATTCAGGGCAGAGTAAAGCATATTTATCAAAATAATCCTACATATGGTCCAAAGACATCTTAATGCTCAAAATTATCCCAACAGGACTAGATTTGGAAAATTCAAATAGATATGATGCCTTTCATCATATCAAAGTTATGAAATTTGATAAGTTGGACATAAAAGGGTTATTCTCAATGGAAGGAATATGAATATTTCTTTGAAGACAAAATACATTATCAAAGGGCTCTTTGGATAAGAAACATTTTGCAAAATCTTGAAAATACTCCCAAGTAAGGTTTTCGGATATATGGAGGAAATGGAGCACTTTTTTCAATAATGACCACCTATGCAGGAAAGACTGCAAAGGCAGCAATATATTATTTAAATTGGAAAATACATTTACTTGACAGTTGTCGAATCAAGTCAAGCAATAAAGTCATCAAGACATTATGCAGGATGAGACAACATAAAAATAACACGTGTCTGACTTGTACGAAAGAGAAAAAAGAAGACAAGGACACCTCATCAAGCAGTCAAAGTATGGAATAAAATATAAGCACTTACATCAGAATGCACTCTCGGAATCGAAAATACTTAATTCAAATCCGCGTAATTCAAGCAAGATAAAGTTCGTGGAAAACACCACTTAAAATCCAAGATTGAAATAGCATCTTCTATAAATAAGGAAACAGTAGATGAAGAGGGGTGTTGGACTAATGAAAACCCAATTTCTCTTAAAATATCTCTCATGTATAGTTAAGCAGAGAGAGAGAGAATATTGTACTATCTATCTTGTACTTTAGTTTCCACATTAATAAAAGAAGAAAGTTCTTTGTAATTGTCACTTCTTTATATCTACGTACACGCTTAGAGGTAGGAAACGACGTTAAACTATGCTACTAATCTTTGAAGCGTCCCTTAAAGGAAGTCACCTTGGTGGTTGGAAGATGCAACGCCCAAATAAGATATTCTCAGGCAAGAAACCGGAGTTTTGTCGGTCAAAAATCAGAAATAAGATATGAAAGCGTGATGGACCCTTTTCTTTCACTAAAAAGAAGTTGTTAGTTTACATATGATACACATTCCATTCTCTTGAAAATTTTGTGGAAGATACTTCAAGCCTATGTAGTACTTTATCAATAAATATAACACATTTTGAATACACATTACAGATACAAATAATATTTATGACAAGATTTATAAGTATAAATGTCTTGTTAACTAACCCAAGTTTTAATTTGGATCTAAATTTGGCATTGAGATGTGAATAGGGGAATTACTTTCTCTTATTGAAGGTATTTCTAACAATTCTTCAATTTATTTTTTGAATTCATCTTGATCAATTGAATTATATCTCATAGATTTAACTCTAATTATTTTATTTTCACCTTTGAGTTTTATTTCAATATAATCTTGGTTTCTATCCCAAAATTTAAGGAGATTTTTTATGTAACTTAATCGTAATTTCTAAGCCAAAATCTAAGGTAGTAAATATGTTTTTTTAACTATAGTAGTTTTAAATGTATATGATATAGATAAGTATATCTATATCTTCCAAAATTATTATTATAGAGCATATGCAAAGAAGAGGGAAATATATATAGAAATAATATTATATAACTGTAGTTGGGCATGAACAGATTTGAGGATGATGAAAATTTTACTTATACATTCCACATGGAAAAGATAAGGCATTTTACTTGGGGGATGGTACTTCTAAAATTTTATTTACTTTGTTTGTTATTCCTGATGGTGAAATTTGGTATTTTTTAAATTAACTTTTTTGTTTGTCTGTGATATGTGATTGTGAAATTTGGTATATATATTTTTATTAAAGTAACTCTATTAATTGTAGAAAATTAGCTTAGCGCAACGGTTATGCCCGTCTATCGGCCCACATGGATTGAGTAAAATGTGGTCAAAAGTTAAAAACTTATTAGAGAACTAAATTGGTTAAAAGAATTCATCAAGAACTAAGTTGATTTCAGCGAAAATGTTCAAGGACCAAAATAGCGAAATACCCTCAAGTTTTTACATGTTACTATATATTAGGAATTTAGATATCTTCCAAATTTTCAGATGGATAACGAAAATCAATTGTCGTTTATTTACGAAACCCTCCATTTTAACCGCCATAATTTCCACTCCTCCCCCACTAAAACCCAGCTCTCCACGACCGGACCCTCTCAATACAGCAGAAGGAAAAGAAGATAAAATATGAAAGTATACGGAACAGGGGTGTTTGATTTCAGGCGGCACCGGGTGGCTGAGTACCCCGTGGAAGGTCCGCTACCGGCTGGTGCAGCTGAGTCGGCTGTTCCTGACAAGTCGCTGGAGTCGAAGCCCGGGACAAATTTATCTACGTCGATTACCCTAACCGAGATCCAGAGGGACCGATTAACGAAGATTGCAGCAGCTAATTGGGCGAAAACGGGAGACTCTACTTCTGCGAAGAAGCCCTTTAGTCCTCAATTGGTTAAAGAGATTTACGACAATGAATTGACGGTTAAAGGTAAGGGTTTTTTAGAGGGTGTAGAATATTAGTTAATTGACTTTAATGCAAATGCTAATCCTTTGTTGTGGTGAATGAAGGAGGGCGAAAGTCTGTGCCGTTGCAGAGAGTGATGATATTGGAGGTGAGTCAGTACTTGGAGAATTACCTATGGCCGAATTTTGATCCAGAAACGGCTACCTTTGAGCATGTGATGTCGATGATTCTCATGGTCAATGAGAAGGTATAGATTTTGTTCTTATATTTATATTTATGTATGTTTTATGTGGATTTTACTTTTACATTTCTGCTGAAAGATGAAACATAAAATTTTAGATGGTTTAAGTGGTTTCATTTGGATAGGTAGGTAACCACATGGTTTGGTAGAAAAGAATGCTTCCTTTTTTTTTTCCTGATAGCAGGTTTGGTTTATTAAGTAGGTTTATTTTGGTAATTAGGCTAATTTGTAGTTCAATTAACATGTATATGCTATTGTAGAAGTTATAATATGTCATTTTTTTGTGGATATTTATCTTGCATTCCATTACTAATGTGCAAAATGGCCAGTTATGTGGAAATGTGAGTTGGATTTGACTGTTTTATGCAAGAATCATTTAAAAAAAAAATGAATTCACGTACTTGAGAATTCACTTGACCTCTATCTATTATTTTTAGATCTAAAGAACTTGATGGGGCATGTCTGTTGAGATAATGACAAGAAACATAGGCATGAAATTCAGAAATTTTTCGTCTAGTGGTACTTAATTTCTATATGAAGGGGCTTGGTGATTTATGAGAATGCTGTATAGATTGTGTTTGTATGTTAGTGAATGTGAGTTTAGCAGCACCTGAGAGACATGCCATACAAAGTTGTGGATCTATTAAGTGGAACTGCCATAGTTTTTATCTGTGAAAGTCTGACGTTAGTATCGCATAATCTCTCTGGCCTTTGGCTAGTTTGGTGGTTATGGAGGCTTAGCTTTCTTGGTTAGGTGATGTTTTGCCATTTTTTTTAACTTTTATGTTAAAAAATATGTTCTAATGTTTTGACAAGGTAAGATAATGGCAATACCCTATGCAATTTTCCCACTGAAATTTTAAGCACATTATTCCTATTATATTTAAATAATTGCCAAAAGATGAACATGAATTCTCAAGCTCTGCTTTCAAGGTTTGAAAAATATTAAGAATTGAAAGGGCATTTTTGTAGATGAATTTTCAAGGATAGGATAAGTCCTCCTCTAGGCTAGAGGCCCACCTTTTTCCCCCCCTTATATTGCTGTTTACAAGTGACTGCAGGGGAAAGTTTACTTTTTCCCAGTCTAATTTGCTTGGTAACGTCGATTTTTACTGGTAAAACAGTTAAAAGCTGAAAGAGCAGAAAAAGTTTCTGCTTTTGGATATTGAGTAAAAGAAATATGGGACAACAAAATTCTTAATCCTAATTATTGAAGTTTTTAGTTTGAAATTAAAGCCATTTCCCTTGAGCAAGAAAAGGAAAAGTAAATTGAATTTTGCAAATTTGCAGTTTCGCGAAAATGTGGCTGCTTGGGTTTGCTTTCATGATAACAAGGTTATGTTCATGGCATTCCTCGAGAGGGTACTTTGCTTGAAAGAGGTATGTTTCTGCTAGCTTGGAGGTTGCTTATCATGAAAATTATCATCTCCTTGTTTTGAAATAAGTTTTGATGGACTCTAATCATTTGGCTGAAGTTTGCACCTCTGGCTTTGGCATTTTCTGACTGTTTACTTGCAAATTTGTGTAGTTGTGATACTGTATTGGAATAATACATATTATCTTGGTCCTACATTGCACAAAGTTCCTTCTTTTTTGGTCATTTTTTCCCAAGAAGAGACCTGACCCTTTTTCTCATGGTGCTTATGAGAAATATCATTCATCCTTTATTCGTAAAGTTGGTTGTTTTAAAGCTTTGTCAGTTAGTTGACTTGTTTTTCTCTGCTTTGAGTCATCATTTCAAGGGAAGGTACCTTGGCCATTGAACCCTAAATAGGCAAGAAGGCAGGTGTAATTCTATTGTTGAAATGGTAGGTCACATGGACATATTTTGGCTATGGGCTTCACCCTTGTTGATGTTGAAAAGTACTCTAGAACAATCAGCTAACATGCCATGAAGATGTTTGTTATGCGAGATCTAAGCTGACATAAATACTAAACAAAATGATGACTATTTTCAAGAAAAGGGGTGCAATAGATTGTTCATTTAACTGTAGATATCAAAGTTTTTGGAGTCATGAAATGAAGCACATGGTAGTGGATGCTGTGATGTTTGTGATGTCATTTTTCATTCTTTGTTTTTGCGGAAGGTGGATTAAAAAATTATGAGTTTGTGGATAGGGAAATGACAATTTCCTTGATACAATTCTTAGAGTGAACAGTGTAGGTGGACATGCACTTTTGGTTTTGACTGTTGGTTTGCTGTGATAACTTGTAGAGTTCTTTGCATATCTTTATATTTCAGCTCTGCCTCCTGTATTTCTTGGCAGAGTCTGCTGAAATTTAAGGAGATTTCTCATTCCAATAGTCTGAGAAACTTGGATGTTGTCACTCAGGATTCTGCACTAAGCCACATGGGAAGAGGAGGGTGGGGGCTGAACTTGCACTGCAGGAATAAAGCAATTTTGGTCTATAGGACTATGACATTGTGTTCTTTCTTTTCTGATTTTTAGTTTAACTTTTTGCATCATCAGGTTGGACAAAAGGTTAATGCTTGAATAGTTGTCGAAATAGACTATCTTTGAAATAAATGCTTTGAAATAGACTATCTTTGAAATAGACGTTTTGAAGGAAGACTATGTTGAGGCCTTGGTCTAGTCTAGTGGTTGAGGTCGAGGCCCCAGGATTTAGAGGTCCTAGGTTCAAATCCTCCTTCCCCCTCCCTGCTTCTTGAATCCCACCCCTCCAAATGACTTCATTTTACTTGAAACTAAGTTAACCATTAGTCAACAGACATCATTGTAGCTTTACCACTGTTGTTGCCTGATTATTGGCCAACATTGTTTCTTATACGAGGGTTGTAAATTCTTGGATATCTGACATCTTGAAATGCCATTTGAAATGTGGTTGCAGGGAAGAAACTTTAGTGTTGCAGAGAAGATAAACTATCTACTTTTCATGATCAATGGATTTCAGGTGCAGTAACAATACCTATGAGCTTCCATTTATTCGTAATTTGCAATTTAGGTGGTTAATGATGAGTTATGGGTTGATCCATGTCTTTTTACTAGCATTGTCTCAGTATTCTGGTCAGGTGTGTGCTGATTTTCTGTTGCACTAATGTGTGAAAATTTTTCTGTGTGATTATATGCTTAAGCTCTTCAGAAACTATTAGCTTAAAGGTACATGATTCTTTCAGGATGCTTTGGCACATGCATTTTATTTGTTCTGGGAAAGTGGATCTTTGTTCTTTCCTGCATGCCTTTCTGTCTTCTTTGGGGATTGATGCTGAGGTGCAATGTGTTAATAATGAAGTGTTTTAAGCATCTTCTTCCCAATGTTATAGAGGTTTATTACTGAGAAGAGAAGTTACTTGAAAGCATTTAATGTAATCAGTAGCAAGCAGAATATTTTGCATTTATTTCTTACTTTGAGCGTAAAAGGTTAAAAGATTCCTTTTATCTTCGTTCCTTTATTTTCTTTTGTTATCATCCTTTTTGTTTTTATAATCTTTGGCTAGACATTTTTTTTATCAGGTCATCTGTCAACAAGATGTGCTGGTGTTCGATCTCTTTTTAATTGAAGTATTTTACGTGTGCTAAGTAAACCTTTAAGTGCCATTGATTTGCACACAATGTCTATCCTTTCCTAATTCTTTTAATAAAGCCAATTAATTTTTGCCTGAAGATTTTTCTTGCAGGATGAATGTTCTTATTGATGAGTTATTTTGTCTCGTGAAAATGTTACTTATGGTCCTTATATATTGCTATTATGGTCTTAAATTAGCGGCATTGCTTCTTTCAAGATTTTCCTAATTGGACAACATTATTTTGCTATGTTTGTTGTCACGGATGATGGTATCTAACTATTTTCTTCTTTCTTAGAGCCTTGAAGATGAGATAGTGAGTGAAAAGGTTTTGAGAGTAGCAAGTCTACAGAGCTGGCATAGCTTATCGTATGGTCGTTTTCAGGTACACCTGTTTATAAGCTACAAGTTGGATGAGAATTGTCTTTTTCTATCCCTTTCACTTTATGATCAAAACGTTTTTACCTTCTTTCTGTAGATTGAACTTTGCCTTAATCCAGATCTGATTAAGAAATGGAAGAAGATTACAAGGCGAGCGAAGGAGGCTGCTAAAAGAGGGGAATCTTTGGAGGCATCAAGTATGATGGAAGTACGATTTTTGCGAAATCTCATTGAAGAGTTTTTGGAGGTATGCCTTCAGCTAAGAATTTCTAAGCAGTATGTGGCTCATAATTTTGGTTCTGCAGACATGTAATTTCTTTCGTATATTACAGGTACTTGATTCCAATGTCTTTCATCATCAGCAGCAGGATGAAGAGTCTGATCAGTCAGTTAATATTGGTGATCCTGAACAAGTTGATGATGCTTGTGTCTTGTATTGTGAACGGTTCATGGAATTTCTAATTGATCTCTTAAGCCAACTACCAACAAGGAGGTAGCATTTTTTCACCCTTATCATATAGTTGAGGTTAAAGTGCTGTTACATATTTTCGCATCTGAAACAAGCTCATTCTTTTACATAGCACTGTAACAATTTGAAATGAATTTAGATATGTGCTCCATTTTCATGTTTTTGTCTGTTTGTGTTCTGGAGAAAAGGGAGTTGGGTGATTGATCTCAGGTACCTGCATGTTTTTACTATAGGAGATGGCTCATCTTTAATTTGTTTGCTTTCTAGCCAGCTTGCTATTTCTTTCCTTTCTTGATATGATATGATTAGTGCCTGTTTGTTGTTTGTTGCCACATCAAAATTTTTTTTTGCTGAAATTTGTAGTACTTTTAACTATCTTCTCGTTCTACAGCATTTCTTGTTCTTCCTTTTGTCTTTAATGAACCTTTGGTTTTGTTCATTTGCAGATATATCAGGCCTCTGATTGCAGATGTTGCTGTTGTTTCAAAATGTCATTTAAGTGCTCTGTATAGACATAGAAAAGGGAAACTTTTTTCCCAGTTGGTTGACTTGCTTCAGTTCTATGAAAATTTTGAGATTGATGACCATTTAGGCAGACAGATGGCTGATGATGAGGTGCTTCAAGCTCACTATGAGCGCCTCCAGGCTTTTCAGCTCCTTGTTTTTAAGAAGATTCCGAAGGTGAGATTTTCTTTTTTGTATCTATGTGGTCTGGAAGTGGTACCGTCTCATTCTGGTCTCTCTGCAATTTAAGCAGTTGCTGCTATCTGATATGGGCTTTTTTTTTTCTTTTTGAGAAAATTACCATTCATTCTGGGTGTTCTTATTGATCAACTCCCTTCTCATTTGTAGTTGCGAGAACTCTCATTGGCTAATATTGGTGCAATTAACAAGCGTGCTGACCTTTCAAAGAAACTGGCAGTACTTTCTCCTGAAGAGCTGAGAGATTTAGTCTGCGTAAAGGTATGTGGTGTGGCTAGTCTGTGTAATGCTTTTCTATTTCTTTATTTGTGTGTGACTTCGATGGACAATAATTATGCAAGATATCACAAGTCAGTACCTGTTAATTGGTTGTATTTTGACCTCACTTACACACATGTTCATGTATAAGAGAATTTATGAGCTTGGATGTATAAGATATTGTAAAGTAAGGCTTCAATTCCCCCTCTTTGTATTCTTTCCTTGGTTAATAAAACTGGTAGGGGTCCATGCCAACTCCCCAGGGCCCCTCGATAGGCTTTCTGTATATTATGTTTCCTGGGATTCAAAACTCAAAATTAGCTAAAATGGTAATCATAAAGCAATGTTAGAAAGAATTCCAGTAATAGCTGACAAGAAGAGCAAGATTAAAGAAGCTGAAGGCAGTTTCAAATAAAGCTTGAGCTATAAGTCCAGTGCTGAGTCACAGTTTTGCCAGTTCCCTTGTTGATTGCTTCCAGTTCTTTTATCATTTGTAATAGACTTGTCAGTAAAATCCCAGGAGTAGTAGCAAATTAAGACTTTTAGATGCTCCAAAAGTTCTCACAATTTGTGGCTTTGTTATCCAGATGTATGCCAAATTGCTTGACAATCCTTGACTAACATTGCTTGGTCTGTTATTAGGAACTGAATTTGAACTGTTTTGGCTATTTGCTATAGAACAAGGGTAATACCGTCCATGCTACGTATGCTGTTGATTGAAATGTTGGTATGTAATAGGGACTGCTGGGAACTAATTGATTGATGAAATCACGATATTTGTTTGAATAATTAGAACTACCGACAAAAGACTGGGTCGGATGGTAGCTGTGTTCTGTGCTTAAGCATCTTGGATTAGCCATACCCTTTTTAGCATTCTTTTTTCAACTGCTTGTTGCTGTTTGAGGCTTTTTGGTGACCTAATGCTTGTTTAGTAGGGACTTCATAAAACAATATATGCAAATGAAATCTTTCATTTTCATTTCAAGATATGGCTCCTCCATTGATGTAGGTGTCTTGTGAGTATGTGATTCTGAGAAAGATGATTTTCTCTTATTGGATTGGTCTGGATCTAATAGCTGATCAACTAAGGGTATCTTTTTGGGTTCAACAGCCCTTTTGTCAAGATATTTGGTTGGATTTCTAATTGACAATTTATGGGATTTTGCCAAGATTGGGGTAGTGCTCCTGGGGTTTTTGGACTCCATGGTGTATATTCAAATTTGGTGTTAACGTGGTTGTGAGAAAGATAAATCGAATTGAGTGTTTATAGGATTTTTGTGTATAGTTATCTGTTTCAACACTGCATAAAATGGTAAGAAAATAAAGGCACTAACTTATCTTGTAAGAGATATGTCTAGAATATTTAAGTATTGTCACCATTCCTATTGTGTCACTTAAGAATTAACTTTTTCCATATTCTGGTTTAGCATTTTGCTCAATTCATAATTGAACTTTAGTGTAGAATGTGATTTGAAAACTCTGAAAGTGTGTCTGTACATTGAACCTAGGTCAATTGAAATACTGTTATAAATTTTTGATATAACTTTGTAATTGGGAGGACCTTTTTTAGTACAGCTTTTAGTCAGCTGAATGTTTGCGAACGAAAGACGTTTGAATTCAGTAAAAGCTGGTTCTACTAGTAAACGAGTTGAAGTAAGAATGATTATGAGTCATTTAATAATCAACTAGGGCTTGAACATGTTCCCAAACTGATCAAATAGGTTTGCCATCATATATAAGTATAGTTTCAACCATATGCAAACACACTTAGCATTTCCCCAATAAAAGTAAATATGTATCAAATTAGTATCATTTATTTTCTAGAACAAGATAAGTGTTATATATACATATCTCGTGTATTATCCCAAAAATAAATTTAATTAGTTTTAACTTGTATTTGAATTCAAGGTCGAGCTTGAAATCAAACCCAAATGCCTTTACAAGTTAATGAATTCAAGTTGAACAACACTTCAGGTGCATATAATAAACCAACGAATTTGTACCTTTTCATGTAACGTTTGAACAGAGTTTGAATATCGAGTATTTGGCTTGACTTAGCTAAATTAAAGCTATACTTTTATGAAGCAAGTTTATTTGCAAAAGTTTAATTTTCTAGCTAGGATCGCTTATTAAACACTATAGTGGAAATGAGTATGAAACCTGAAGTTTAGCAACACGTAGTTCATTTTAAGAGTCGATTCATTAAGAAGAAATTTTCAAAAGCAAGTCCTTAATGAACTCAAAACTCAGCCTCATTTGCAAAATGAGGAGTATGACTAATGATCTTGGCATGTGATTAATGAACTTCCACTTGTTTTGGGAATTAGGATTATTATTGTCTGAATCCCATGCAAAAGGTTAGAACTAAAAAAGCAAAATAAAAATTAAGAGACTAGAAGCAGTGGAAAGGTCAATCCTAATAACCCCCTCATCTCCCAAAAGAACTTTTAGATTGTATTGTCGCGTTGAAAATTTTTAAAGCTTAAGCTATACCCTTATCAAATTTAGAATTTGCCCACCTAAAATTTAGTGTAAAGTATAAAGTTGTTCATCCTAACTCAAAGTATATATATATGTAAGTTTGCCCCCTCAAGTTCCAAGTTCTGCAACCTCGAGGGGCAAGAAATGTGATTGTATACTTCAGATGATACATTACATTATGTGTTAATTAATGCTGACAATCGCCCGTTGGCAAATTCCGCTTAACATTTATATGCAACTATTAAAGAGTGAGCAAAGTTGAACTTAAGCAGATGAATAGTAGTGTAAAAGTAAAACAGTACCGAGATGAAGATTTCTTTTGAATTTTCTCCTTCTTGTTAGGGTGTAATCAAGCTGCATCAAGCTAACATGGTAAAGCTCTATCTTGAGCTCAACTTTAGCTGAGCCTACAAAAGCTTGATGAATTAAGGAAAAAATATTGCGTACACTCTTAATTAAAGGATAAAGTAGACACTTGCACAAATATATGCTTGTGTGTATATGTATGTCTGTATGTATACATATTTGTGTATATGCTTGTGTATGTGTATGTCTGGGAAATGCTCAATTAAAATGGACAAGATTTCAAAGCACATGTGAGTATGCTTGAACTCATCTACCATCAAATCAGCTTATTTGCTGATAGTTTACACCTATATTATTATGTCTAATGTAGTCATTAACAAATGTAATCTCCAAAAGTTGTTATTGGTTTCTAGCTCATAGTTTAACTGCTTAATATTTATGTGCTTACCTCCATGAAGATGAATACTCATATGTTGGTTATGATGCATATCAGGCACCATGATTGCTTACTAACTGATATTTTTATTTCTTTAATACAGCTGAAATTGTTGTCCAAGAGTGACCCGTGGTCAGAAAGAGTGGACTTCCTAATTGAGGTGATGGTTTCCTTTTTCGAGAAGCAACAATCTCAAAAGGAAGCTATAAATGCTCTCCCCCTGTACCCTAATGAGCAGATAATGTGGGATGAGAGTCTTGTGCCAAGCATCAACTACTCAGGTGAAGGGTGCCTGGCGCTTCCAAAACTCAATCTGCAATTTTTAACACTTCATGATTATCTGCTGAGAAATTTTAACCTTTTCCGTCTTGAATCAACATATGAAATCCGGGAGGATATCCAAGAAGCTGTGCCACATCTCCTTGCTCACATTAATAATGAAGGAGAAACTGCTTTTCGTGGCTGGTCAAGAATGGCTGTGCCAATTAAAGAATTTAAGATTACTGAGGTGAAGCAGCCAAATATTGGGGAAGTAAAACCATCGGCGGTGACTGCTGAAGTCACATTCAGCATTTCCAGCTACAAAGCACAAATAAGATCGGAATGGAATGCACTTAAAGAGCATGATGTTCTGTTTTTACTCTCAATTTGCCCTTCATTTGAGCCTCTTACTGCCGATGAAGCTGCTAAAGCAACTGTACCACAGAAGCTTGGGCTACAATATGTACGTGGCTGTGAGGTTATTGAGATGCGTGATGAAGAGGGAACACTCATGAATGATTTTACTGGAAGAATTAAGAGGGATGAATGGAAGCCACCGAAAGGAGAACTGAGAACTGTGACTGTTGCACTGGATACAGCTCAATATCACATGGATGTTAGTGATATTGCAGAGAAGGGTGCTGAAGATGTTTATGGTACATTTAATGTACTGATGAGGAGGAAACCTAAGGAAAACAACTTCAAAGCAATACTAGAATCAATAAGAGATTTAATGAACGAAACTTGTATTGTTCCTGATTGGTTACATGATATATTTTTGGGCTATGGCAATCCTTCTGCTGCACAATGGATTAACATGCCAGACCTTCTGGAGGTTGTAGATTTCAAAGATACTTTCCTTGATTCTGATCATGTCAGAGAGTGTTTTGCGGATTACCAGGTTTTATATTTTCCTTTTATTTATTTATATATTTATTTTTTGCCTTTTCGTTTTAGTCTGTGATTATGGTTCATCTTAAGTGTATGTCTGCTTTTTCTTATTTCAATTCTTGCCTTAGGTTTGCTTCACAAACTCCGATGGGACAGAGAATGCCAACCCAAGCCCTCCCTTTCGTATTAAACTTCCCAGGAGCCTGAAGGGAGATGCTCATGCTCTTCCTGGAAATAAGAAGTCTATCTCAGCTCTAGGTGATGCTGCTAATGCAACAGATGTCCATTCCAATGGGGAAAAGCTGGTTGTTGAGGCTTATACTCCTCCAGACCATGGTCCATATCCCCAAGATCAACCCAAGCAGAACTCAGTTAGATTTACTCCTACTCAGGTACTTGATTGCTCAATTTGTCAAAGAATTCCTTACTCCTGTTTCGCTATCTCTTCTTTTGTAAAATATTCTTTCAAACTGCTTTGAAATTAATGCTGTTCTAGGTGTCTAATTGGAATTGTTCCTCTGAACACAACTTTATGCACTTTTTGATTTTGCAGAGGTGCTGCTTGTGTGTTTTCTGGTTTAAGTATGTCATTAGGCTTCTGGAGTTTTCCTTCTTTAGCAAGTATTTATTTATAGGTTGCTTTAGCAATATCATTGCTTTGAATAGGTTTTTCATACATTTGGTCATCATGGCGACTGCCTTTAAATGCAAAATACATCTTCTTGGTGTTTCCTTCATTTGTTGTGGTGTTCTACATGACCAGGAGTATGACCATCGGCTAGAACATATGATTACTGGTCCTACACATTTTGGTGGGATTAAGTGTAAGCCAGAAGTCTAAAGGGGACAGCCTAATGGATTGCTGCTTCCATTTTGCAAGCAAGTTGTTTTGGTTATTTCTTTTAAGACTTTCACGAGGCACATGTATTTAGTCCAACTAAATTCCTGTGCCAGTACATACAGATCAAACTTCTAGGGATTTATTGATTCCATGTTCGAAAATCCTTTGTTTGTTTGATATTTACCTTTTCCCTTTCTTAAAGTCATCCTCCACCCTTGGCTTTTAGCTAGTTTTGCTTCTGTCACAAGGATTTATGTGGGAAACCTGTATAATTTATTATGGACCATTCATGTATTGGATACAGAAGGTAATAAAATCTGTTGATTCAATTCTTTCCAAGGCTTACAATTTTTTGGTATTGATTTTTGCTGAAGCTTGAACAGTTTTCTTATAATTTGAAGGGATGCAATTCCTTTTAACTGATAATTCCCTCAGAATCTGGGTCTGAAGTTTAGTTACATCATTCTTCAGGCATTCCCTGGGAAATGCAGCTAATGTAGAGTGGATCATAACCAGTAACGAGAGATATTTATTTATTTGTGCCCTAGTCTTTGAATTCTTTGCTACTGCTTGTTTCATTTGATTTCCATCAGTGCCATGAAATAACTGAATTCGAGGGGTCAGTAAACTTTTTAAGTGCATTTTCTCGGGTACAAGTGGATAATTTATGTGGCACAATGGTGGTATTTCATGTTTATTTGCTTGAATTTCCTGCCAAATTTAGATGTCCCAAATTACATGCTAAGTGATGTCTAGACTTTTGCGATCCTTTGCCTTGGGCCTTGGTTGAACTATATCACAGATTGGTGGAATTATGTTTTTTTCTTCTGACATTATGATTTCTGTCCTACAGATTGGAGCAATCATTTCAGGTATTCAGCCAGGATTGACTATGGTTGTTGGTCCTCCCGGTACAGGAAAGACTGATACTGCAGTACAGATCTTGAATGTGCTTTATCATAATTGTCCTTCTCAGAGGACATTGATAATTACTCATTCAAATCAGGCTTTGAATGACCTATTTGAGAAGATTATGCAGGTATGTGTTTTCTATCCTCAAACCTGTGGAGTCTTCAGCTTGATGGGCTAATCACTCCTCTGTATTTGTTTTAAGTTTGGACTAGCTTTAAGTCATTTGTGTTCTGCTGTAACAGAGGGATGTGCCAGCTCGTTATCTTCTTCGTCTGGGTCAAGGAGAACAAGAACTGGCAACTGACCTGGATTTCAGCCGTCAAGGCCGTGTCAATGCAATGCTTGTGAGGAGGTTAGAACTGCTTAGTGAGGTGGAGCGACTGGCTAGGTCTCTCCAGCTGCCTGAGGATGTAGGCTATACTTGTGAGACAGCTGGTTACTTTTGGTTGCTTCATGTCTTCTCTCGTTGGGAACAATTTTTAGCTGCTAGTGAAAAGAACCAAGACAAAGCAACTTTTGTTCAGGATCGCTTTCCCTTCAAAGAGTTTTTCTTCAATGCTCCACAGCCTATATTTACAGGCCAGTCCTTTGAGAGTGACATGCGGGCTGCAAAGGGGTGCTTTCGTCATTTAAAAACTATGTTTAAGGAGCTTGAAGAGTGTAGAGCATTTGAATTGCTTAAGTCAACAGTTGACCGGTCAAATTACCTTATGACCAAACAGGCAAAGATTGTGGCAATGACTTGCACCCATGCTGCCCTTAAAAGGAAGGATTTTCTTCAGTTAGGCTTCAAGTATGACAACTTACTGATGGAAGAAAGTGCTCAAATCCTGGAGATTGAGACATTCATTCCAATGTTGCTCCAAAGGCAAGAAGATGGATATGCTCGCCTTAAGCGGTGCATATTGATTGGTGACCATCACCAGTTGCCCCCTGTTGTGAAAAATATGGCTTTTCAGAAGTACAGCCACATGGACCAGAGTCTATTTACTAGATTTGTTCGCCTAGGAATTCCTTACATTGAGCTCAATGCTCAGGGTCGAGCAAGGCCAAGTTTAGCTAGGCTTTACAATTGGAGATATAGAGAACTAGGTGATCTTCCATTTGTGAAGGACAATCAGATCTTCCATAAAGCAAGTGCTGGATTTTGCTATGACTATCAGTTGGTAGATGTACCTGATTATAATGGGAGAGGTGAGACTGCTCCTTCTCCATGGTTTTATCAAAATGAAGGAGAGGCTGAGTATATTGTCAGCGTCTATATGTATATGAGGCTACTCGGCTATCCTGCAAACAAGATATCCATCTTGACAACTTACAATGGCCAGAAACTTTTGATCCGTGATGTTATTAACAGGCGATGTGCTCCTTATGACTTCATTGGTCCACCAAACAAGGTAACATACTCAAAAGCATTTACTTGTTAGGGTAGTTGAACTTCCAGAAAATAACTTCCATTGGAAGTCAATATTAGCAGGAGCTCAATGACAGTAACTTGTTAGGTTTACATACTGCTTATTAGTGACGAATAAACATCATTGAAATTTCTCTAACTGATGCCTGACCTTGAGTAATCTTTTTCTATGGCTCATTTACTGGTGATTACTAAGGCATCATTTTGCATAGTTGCTAGTGTTAGATATTGGATAGACTGGAAGCCATTGTTTTTCAAGGAATGCCTAGATAGAGTTTGGTGGTAACAAGTAATGCTCCACGGGTATTGTGAAACAATTGAGCTTTAGGCACCTCCTGGTGCTATGTACTATGTTTATGAATCAATCCTCTTTGATGTGATGCATGTTTGTGCTTGTCTAACATGGCTTTCGCTTACTGTGATTTCTTAGGTTACTACTGTTGATAAATTTCAAGGCCAGCAGAATGATTACATTTTATTGTCTCTTGTGCGAACTCGATTTGTGGGCCACCTTCGTGATGTTAGAAGACTGGTTGTTGCTATGTCCCGTGCTCGACTGGGGCTTTATGTTTTCTGTCGACGTTCTCTTTTTGAACAATGCTATGAATTACAACCGACTTTTCAACTACTGCTCCAGAGACCTGATCAACTGGCTCTGAATCTACATGAGGTCATCCCATACACAGATCGTCATGTTGAGGACACTGGAATCGTCCACCTAATTAGTGGCCTTGAAGAGATGGCTGGCATTGTCAACTACAAGATGCATCAAATATATCAGGTACTGTCCAGCTGATTGAGTTATGATTTAAGCATTGCTTTCCTGAAATTCCCTTGACTGGCATATTTTCTCGATTATATGATTAAATGCATCAAATATATCAGGTACTGTCCAGCTGATTGAGTTATGATTTAAGCATTGCTTTCCTGAAATTCCCTTGACTGGCATATTTTCTCGATTATATGATTAAATTGCCTCATTCCATGCATGAGGGTGACCAGTGAAAGGGATTGAAATGTCTATATTATGTGCTTATAGCTTTTGGTTTAATAAAAGGATCATGTGGTTTGTTGCACCACCCCAAACTTCTATCATCCTTCATTTCCTGGGAGGCCAGAGTTTTGCCCATTAAGAAGTTTGATGAAATTATGTTGTGGACAACTTTTCTAGTAATATCTCCTTTTATCAAATTTTAATGCCCTATTGAACACCATTTCTTTATTTAAATCAGACTCTGACATATCATCAAGTTTATCATCCTCCAGGGATTGCTCATTGACTTCTGTGCTACCTCATCCAGATCACCATCATTAACTTTTCACACCAAAGGCAATAATTATTCAGGAGGCAGCCCAATCAACAGAAATCGGTCTTTTGCTGACTTTTTCCAACTGAACATCTTCATTACCCGTAGAGTACTAAAGGGACAAAGGGAAAAGAAGAAAAATTTCAGGATAACCATCTCATAGCTCATAAACACTAGTAGTAAAAAAATTGGTAGCAAAATGAATCACGTTTAGTCCACCAAAAGTTGGAACTTTAGCAACTTTAAGGTGACCTGCTGCAATGTTTACAAAGGTATGCCTGAAACTGTAAAGGTCAAGACTTCAAAGCTCAAGCTGTCAGACTCCATTAAAAATTGTGAGGAATAAATTTCAGGCAGTTTGTCATACAAAATAGCTGATGGAATAAATACTGATATGCATCTTAATTTTTGCATAGTTACAACAAACTGGAGCCACAAACAATATGATAACCAAATAAATTACAAATTCAGTTGGGCAGAAATTACTCTGCAGGAAAAGTTACTATTGGAAAAAAATTGATGGCAATTAGGTTAAACATCAAATTTTGATTATGCTGGGTTAGACAAATGGTTTGTGCTGCCATAGGATGGATGGCTGCTAGGTCATCGTATCAATATTTGAGCAATATTGCAGAAGGAGAGAGGCTAGGGAAGATACAGGGTGGTTGGAGCTTTGTGTGGTTTGGAAAGGAGGAGAGGGAGAAGGAATCTGACAGATGAATTTGAAAAAAAAAAGAACTGGGAATGGTGATAGTATAACAGGACAAGGCAATCCACATTAATCACAAAATGCATAAGGGACCAAGACTTGTTCCCACTTTTATGTATTTAGAATATCTTATTGTAGACTGTAGTGACCTTAATAATAGGTGAAAAAGTAGAAAAAAATATATTAGGTGAAAAAGGACTAGTTATGATTTTAAGTTCAAAAGATGTTGGCCCTTGATTTACCATACAAAAACAATAGATGTATTGGTGGGATTTTTTCCTCACCAGTTGACTGACATTATAGGATCAACTAGCTATTTGACAATATCTCAACTATTAAAAGGTTAGGCCTATTTGACAATATCTCAACTATTAAAAGGTTAGGCTTATTTGACAATATCTCAAACACTTGGGTGTGCATGCGCACACGCACAGAGTCTCTCTCTCTCTCTCTCTCTGTTTATCTCCTCTCTGACACACAAGCACATACAGAACAGGTTTGGTTAGAATGGAGTCCTTTTGTGGTTTTGCTCTGTCCTTGTTTCTCCTTTGGTCAAATAATTTTCTTTTGACCATTCTGAATTTCTTAAGCTGCTGACCCTCTTTTCAATTTTTGCCTGACTGCTTTGATGTATGATTGATCCAGAATTTGGCAGACGTTCCCTAGTTTAGTTACAAAAGATAGAAATATATAATTAGAAATATATAATTTTGTTCTTTCCCATTTAGTTTCCTGAACTCATTTGATTGTCTTTTTAATCATATGGATAAATGGTCTTGAATGTTGTTTAGTGTCCAACATAAAACTTTGAGGTGTGGAGTGGGAATAGGTTTAAACAGTATGGGTGCAAAATGGCATTGAACCTTGTTTATCTGATCATGTGTTTCTGCATATGGTTTTTTTTTTTTTTCGTTTTTTTGTGTGTGTGTGTGTGTGTTGGGGGGGGGGGGGGGCTTTGCGTCTAGCCACAGATTTTTTTCTTATAGTTTTACCCAGTAGGAGGCTAATTGGCAATGGACTTCTACTGCAGACTTGCATGCTGGCAGTCTTTAATACCGTTATACTTTTTTTTTGGGTTTCATTAAGCTTTGTTTTTTCCTGGGGTTGTGGGGCATAACTTGCAATTCCTAGATTTCCATCATCTCCGTGTTACACATATCTAGAATTTTCATTAACACTAACTTTCTGAGTTCTCTACTCAGGCACGAGCAATGAGCCATCAGTTATCAGCTTATTCTGAGCATGTTCCCATGGCAGTGGACGCTTCAGATGAAAACAGCCTTTCAAGTTCAACTGTGCGTGGTGCCTTGGAATCTGATCCCCATCGTGACAATGGTATTAATGGGGAAGTATCACCTGAAAATGAGTCAAATGAATCTGCAGCAAAGGACCTTGCAAATGGAAACAATGACATGCCACCTGGTAGCAAGTCAAATGGAAATGTTGATTTGAAAGTTCAAGGAGATGACTTAAATGGCATGGAAATCTCGGGTAGTGCAGAAGAGGAAAGCAAGATGGAGGAGTAATGAGTAGTAATGCTCCACTCTTCTGAACTTCCACATATGTTATTGGACTCAACTTGTTGACATATTGAAGGTTATTAGTTCAAACGGCATTAGTCCAACTCTGGAGAGGCCATTCAAGTGAGACAAAAGTTCCCAGAAGACGAAATGCAAGAACATTTTCACCAGACTGATCTAACTTGTAGTTTGGATGGAGGCAGTGATCTACCATGCAACGGTCGTTGGGAACTGTGAATTTTTGTTTAATCCTTAGTCCAACTAAGTAGAGAGAGGGGACACGTTGGGGGAATGTGGGAGGGTGTTCTGAAAAAAAATGAGAGGTGGGAGGAGAAGGAATTATGGCTTGCTGGTGCTAGATCAATGGAAGTGGCTACTGCATTGTATACATGTTTTTCTTTTGAGTGCTAAAGTAGGTAACAGCCACTAAATGTTTGCACAACATATTGCTTTCATGTCGTATATGCTCATCAAAGGGTCCCTCTGTGGTTCACATGTATTGCTAACTGCAGTTTTTGAGGAGCAGAGTTTGCTCCAGTTTCCACCTTAATTTTGGTAATAGATTACTTCACTGGGATAAATACGACATATGCATGATTTGGGAAAAAGTCACTTTTCGTCCCTAAACTTTGAGTTGGAGACGCATTTTGTTCCCAAACTTTTAGACGTATTACATTTAGTACCTGAATTAATTATTTTTTGTCACATTTAGTCCAAAAATGGTAAATTGCTTGATTTGGATGAAGAAAGTCATGTGTTTGGCACGTGATCGTTACGTAAAAATAATTTCTCAGTCAAAATTAATAGTTACGTCAGACTTTTTCATCCAAGTTGAACATTTTATCGTTTTTGGATAAAATATGGTCCAAAATAATTAATTCATGTACTAAATGTGGTGGTGCGTGCGTCTAAAAGTTTGAGGATGAAATATGTCCCTAACGCAAAGATTAAAGACAAAAAGTGGATTTTTCCCTTGTATTCTTTATCTAGTAGTACCAAGTCATATGCAGTAGTGGAGTGTCACACTGAAATGACTTGATGCAAGAGAAGCATGAGTTCTTTGATTTCATGGACACAGTTTACCCTTTGATACATGTAACGAGGTTATTGCAGCTGCAACAAAAGCACTGGCAACATAGATGAGAAGTGAGTTCTTTGATTTCATGGATATAGTTTACCCTTTGATACACGTAGCAGGGCTATTGCAGCTAAAACATGATTGTGTTGAATTCATTATTTTAAATTGACCGTTGAGAAACATTTGGTAGAGGAAATGCTTTATTTACGGATGAGTTTAAGCGTTGAAGTAAAAATACTGTTTAGGGTTTAATGTTTATGGTGCGAGTCAGATTATATTATAGGTTCCAACTTTTTGAACTATAAGGTCTTCCTAGGATTTGCAAGTATCTTGGGCTAGGGAGAAAATGGGATAGTTCCCGTCTACATGTTAAGTTTCAGTTGTAATTCAAGGATGACCCCTGCCTTTTAAGTGCGTGCTTTACCTGCACTCTGATCCTTGAAGTCTTGTGTCAGGCTAAGAAATCTACGAGAGGTTGAATGAAGCTTGGCAGAGCAAGAGTGGAGAAGGGAAGCTGGGAATGAGCGGAGAAAAGGAAGAAGAAGAAAGAGAGTAACCGGCAAGAGAGAGAAAATGAATCTTGTTATTACTCATGCTAATTCGGTTACAGGAAAATGGAATCATTTATACAATTCTGTTATTCATTTAAAGAATGTATATAAACTGGGAAGAGCCTGCCAAAGCATGGTCGTCCTCCATGCCTTGCTCACGTGCGGGTTATTATCAAAGTGGCCGAGCTGGAAATCTTTTTTTTTTCTTCTTTCTCTTCTTATTTTTTTTATTTGTTTGTTTGTTCTTTCTTCTTTCTTGGAACCCAACGTCTTTCTTTTCTTTGTTCTGAAAGTTATCGGCGCCCTCCATCAAACACCTTTTGTCCTTGGAACCCAACACTAATCATAGCATCTCTGCTAGCAACCTTATAAGAAAGGTCCTTGGAACCCAACACTAATTATACCATCTTTGCTGAGCAGCGTGCTTTTTATATTGTATTTATTGAGCTGTTAAAATTGGGATGGTGATGATTAGCTTCCTATTAAAAGCAGATAACAGGACCCTAGAACCTTAATATATCGCTGCCCAACAATAATCAATGTATAATTTTTTTAGAGTTTACACGGCAGCTATACATGCAGCCCGACTGTGCGCTGCTTTCAGCCGTCTTAATGGTTCCTCGGATTTCAAACACATGCACTCTTTACAGCTTTTCATGGAGCTTCTGGGCCCGACGTTCTATGACTAGAGGTGGAGAGTAGCTTTTTCAGTCCTTCTTCTTGCAGGCGTCTCGCCTTCTCTTCCTCTCCTCCACCTTATTTTGGACCCGTTCCTCAACCTTCGCTGGTTCTGTTGCATTTCTTTGGGCTCTTACTCTCACCATCAATATACTCCTTGCTGCTATTAGCTGGAAGAAGTTCTCGTTCTATTTCTATTTTTTGGTTCTTTTTTTGTTATATTTCTTGCTTCCTGCCTATCCAGGTTCAGAGCTTAATTAGCCTGTGCTTCCATCACTCTGCACTCATTTTCGCTTGTTTACTTATTAGCGTTTTCCCTTAGTGCGATTAGCTCCTGTCCCTATACTGCTTTTCCATTGTGCCTGCTGCTTAGATGGTTTACGTTTGTCCGCGCCTTGGCTGCCTATGTTGTGTGCGTTGACTTTGTTATTAGCTCCTTACTTGCGTCTTTCTTTCTCTTTAGCTCCGTTGTTTTACATGCTGGTGTTTTTAAAGCTACTGCTATTTCTCTTGTCTGTATGTGTTTGGTTTTATTTGCTTATTTTTCTCATTACATCTGTCATTGTTCGTCGAACTGTTCTTTATCACTTCTTCCTAGAAGTGCCACTGCTCTGCTCTTTTTTGTTCAGTTCATGTGTCGTTTACGTTCGGTCCGTTTCTTCTGTTTCTTGCATGCAGGTTGTGCGTTCCATCTCCTACAGTTAAAAGGTACTCTCTTCACTTCCACCTTGTGAACTTTGCTGCTAAAACTTTGTTATCATTCAATCTTTTTGTTGCTGCTTCGCCTTCATGCTCATTTCATCTTTTGTCGATTTGTTTAGCCTTTTTTTTTTCTCTTTTCCCACTGTTTGACCTTTGCTGCTAAGCCTTCGTCTTCATTCAAACTTTCTGTTGCTGATTGACCTTCATGCTCACTCCCACTTTTGTCGATTTGTTTGGCCTCTTCTGTTTTCCCTTTTCCAGTTTTCCTGCTTTCTTCTTCTGCCATTTGCTTTTCCTTTCTTGTTTCTATTATTTCTGCCTTCTCCGTTGAATGAATTGTCTGCTACGGACGTTGCGTGGTATGGAAATAAAAGACATATTTCCTGCCTTGTCGGTGTTCTACTGCTTTATGGCTGATAGATGCCTTTTGTCTGGGAAAGCATGAGTTTTTTACTTCGGTAGTACTAGCTCCATGGATAGAAATGCCAATCGTCGCAAGCGTTATGCCGAGATGCCCCAGGAAAAGAAGGTAGATCTCTTGCGGCGCCGCAGGGAATCTAATGCTGCACGGAAACAAAATGTAACCCTTCATCCTTCTGTTCCTGGATCTGCAACTCGCCTCTTAAGGAGGGGGCGCAGAACTGATGTTCAGCAACCACCTTCTCCCCGCGTAGGAACGGCTGGCAGTTCTGCTGCTTCGGCCAGCCAGTGTCCAGCTTCTAAACAAACATACTTTGTCGAGCCAGACAGAGTCGCTCTAGATAGTCATGGACTAGCATCTTGAACGTGCCTGACCAGGTATATCCTTACTGTACGTATTGGCTATCATTATTGCAAAAACGCCTTATCTCAGCTTTCATAATGCTTGAATTTCCCTGCAACTTTTAGATATTTTCTCCTCAGTTCCAGGCAATCCTCATTAAGCACCAGTGCAATCAAATTACTCTACGTGAGGGCTACAAAACATGGATCATTAAACTCAACAGACAGTGGTTTGGAGAAGGATGGCAGGAATTCTGTCGCAGCAACATCCTGAGGCAGAGTGATGCTTTCTTGCTCCGTCATTCCGGAAGTTTAGTTTTTGATGTGATTCATTTCTCAGAGGACCGTCAGCAAGCACGCATGCCATGGACAGATCCATTACCTAATATTCTACATCTAAAGCCGTCTCTTTTTTGGTCTGCTTTCGCTCATTATTTGTTTTTTTACGAAAAATTCCGCTTGCCTCATATGTATATAGTTTTCTCTGCAGTGAATAGACAACTAAGAATAGTACGACAGCGAGTATTATCATCAATGAAACCAGAGTTTGCAAACAACTTAACTGAAGGAGCGTGTTTCTATCAGATTGTTACAGGGAACAATCGACATAAATTTGTAAGTTTTTTTTTTTACTCTAAAATGCATCTTCCCGTGATTATTCTGCAGCAATGTTAACGCTGTTGAGTGTGCCACCAGAAAATTCCCAGATTTACGCTTCACTGCTTACCTGGTGACAAAGCACCTTCTATTACTCTGAGGACTGGAAACAAAACAATAACTGTTACGATGCATGACAGACAGTTTATAGAAAACTGGGACATTTTTGCTGCTGAGCACCAACTGGAACTGGATGAAATTTTAGCTTTCCTTCCTGAATCAAGCTACACCTACAATGTTCTAATCTTTGACAGATATGGTGCAGAAAAGCAGTTCTCATGGTATCACAGTTTCCATGTTTACTCCATCGTGAAAAATGAATCAATTTAGATCAATCACAAATAGCAGTTTCCCTGCATCATGTTTCTTTTTTCAAGCGTTTACTGTAAGGATTCTTTTCGCTCATATATTATTCCATTCTCTGCAGCTTCTTTTTTATTTACAAGTTTAGACTTAACAAATGAAAAACTCTCCTGCTGAAAAAAATGCCCACAACACATGCCTTCTTCCAGACATTTCATTCACTTGTTCCTAAAAATATCCAAGGTACGTGTCAAAGGTTATAGGAGAAAAAACATTTTCCTTACATTTCCAGTATATAGTCTATAGCCATGCTAAGAATCCAAAAAAACTTTCAAACAAACTAAACAATTTCTCTGTATGACAAATTTTCTTCTGAAATACATGTACACTGTCCCCTCAACCTGGGCATATTTACACCGTTCCACCGTGCGCAAGCACGGTGAACATCTCCTAGTCTAACTAACTGGACATAAAGCACTAACTTCTAGAATAAGTCCAATTACGTCGTTTTGCTTATTTTGCTTCTTATGACCAAAACGCACAGCAGTCCTTATAAAACGACATTTTATTTTTCCTTTGGTGCCTGACATACCCTCCCTGCTAATGTCAAGCTTGTCCGCAAGCTTGAAAACCTGGAAATATTTTATCAATGAAGCTTTTGTCTTCCCAAGATGACTCCGACTGTGGAAGATGATTTCATTTCACCAGGTATTGAATGATTGGTTGAGTATTATGCATAACAACTCTCTTTTTCAATACCTTCTCGGGGTATAGTACGCACTGATCAGAAGCATCAAGCTCAGGAAGAGTAGGCTCAATGTCCTGAGCAACACCAATCTT